TGGATTTTTTCCATTAAAGTTGTAAGAGCCCAAGAGATGTAACTGCTTTTTTGCAGCATAATCGTTGTCCCTGGAAGATAGCTCCTAATTTTTGAAGAAATAAATCATATGATTATAGAAAGGATGTATCAAACAGAATTAGAATTAGGGTAGTTTACTCGAGTGAATACCTACCTCTTATACTATTCCCCATGTGGAGCTTGAAACTTCTACAAATTATGTTGACAAGAATCATTATGGTAAAATATCACTACCAGCTCTATGAGTTAGTACAGTAAGTAGTAACAGATTGAAAAAGGCACTGGCTACCCACAATCTTCGCCTTCGTTAAGGAGCAACGTATATACCGTTAGTTCCCTTAGGTATGCACACAAGTGTTTTTATAGATGAGCCAGAAATTGTGTGTATACCGTTAGTTTCCTTATGCACACAAGTGTTTTCATAGATGAGCCAGAAATTGTTGGTAACCGAAAAGCAGAATGTAGTCCAAATGATCACGTCATTACTTTGCTGAGCTACGAGGGAGCCTATGCATTAAAGCGGTTTCACTTGCATGCTTCTACTTAAAATTATAATGAAAAATATGTAAATGAAGAGAAGAAATTTGTCGGGTTTTATGTAATGTTTTATCGTTTGAGATGACAGTAATTCCAACAAAATGTACAAAAACCTCAGAACCATAAGTTGGAAACTGATGACGCCGCAAGTTTGTAAATCGCGTTAAACACTGTGCGGCCGGCGCGCGGGGCTGGCATGGCGCGGACCGTATAGTAGCGCCTTACAAGACTGCAGGATACTTCATGCATCGCGCGTACAGCACGGTGCAAGCCGCGCATAGTTCAGCGCCTTACAAGACAACTGGATACTTCATACATTGCACGTACGTGGTCTGTCCGGAAAGTATCAGGACTTTTTAGATTTTGAGAAATCGAGCTTACCTATGACATTGTGGCTTTAATCTCCTTCGAAGTACTCTCCGTAAGACACAATGCACTTGTTCCAGCGATTTTTGAGCTGTTCAAAACAGTCCAAAAAGCACTCCTTTGGAATGTCCTTCAGCACTCTCGTCGTATTCTCTTTTGGGTCATTGATGGAGTCAAATCGAGTCCCTTTCATTGGAGATTT